TGGCAGGTGTGTGGCACGCGCTACAGGACAAAGTCTTGGGGCATGATAAGTGGGATTTATATGGGATTGCCAAACCCAGCCCTGTGTGTCCTGTCGGGGTCAGCAGTTACTCCACCAAGCATTAAAATTTCAAGAAACCAGGGAATTATTTCCAACAGGAGCCTCCTAGAGTGTGCACCGTGGCCAGCGTGGTGCTCCTGCTCCTGCACACCCACACTTCTCCCCTCGCAGCTGTGTTGCAGAGGCTGTGATCATCGCAAGGGGCTTTTGGGGTGCTCTCCCATGCCGATGGTACCCCTGCAGCACCTCTCACCCCGGTCTCGTCCCCACTGGTGTGGAGCCCAAGATGCTGAGACGCGTTTCCATGGAGCAGCCGAATCCGAGCTGGATTTTCCCCTGAGTGCTGATAAAGTGCTGGGGTTGCTGTAGCAACATGTTTGGAGGTATAAAAAAACAAAACAAAACAAAAACCCCAAACCAAGGTGGGGAGGGAGTTTTTAGGAGGGGAGAGCTTCATGGCAAGCCCAGCATGCCCACCCTGGGGGTGGCAACAAGTTGCCCGGGACCTCGGTGTGGCACGGGGCTGAGCTCACCGCTCCCTGCATCCACCAAAGGAAATTATTTTTTTTTCCCATTAGATTCTCAAAAGCTGAAGAGCAAGGTTTTGATCTATGTGCTGGTTTGTTGCAGGGCTGGAGGTGGGTTTTCTCCCAGACTTGGCAAATTGGCTGGATGCAGGGGCACCCCCAGGGGCTGCCATGCTGGTGGCCGGTGGGCGCAGTGCTGCAGAGGTCCCATGGCCACCCCACGTGGGAAATCACTGACATTTTGGGTGCAGGTTCATCCACACAGGGCTTCTTTCTGCACTTTGTAGGTGAAGTATTTTGCTTCCTCTTCTGCTTTTTATTCAACAATTTTATGGGGAAAAAAAAAAGCACAGGCGTGGTTTGTGAGCGGTGGTGTTCGCGGGGGCTTTGCTCGATGATGCTCAGCAAAGCTTGCAGGCTGCTGTTGGGACCACAGGCGATGCTGGGTGTCCTCTTTCGAGCTGTTCCCAAACTGAGCAACTGTGAAGCAGTCCCAGGAAATCCCTTTCCTGGGGCTAGAGGAGCAAAGCCGACTGCAGTCATCTTCAGCAGGTTTTACAGCGAGCGCTGTGGGTTTTTCCATTCCAGTCCCAGGAGCCCAGTCCTGAATTCCCTGCTCATTTATCTGCTTTTTTCCTAATTCCTCCTGAATGCTTCTCTCTCAGAGTATATAACGGTGGTTAAGAAATAACACGTTCTGGAGGGCTTTTGCTCCCAGCTGAATGATGTTGTATACCTAATGCGATCCTGAGCAGGGCTGGTGCCTGTTCTGCAGGCTCTGGGAAGCTGCCCAGGTCCCCTGTCCTTGCCAGGTGCCCTTGGGGACCCAGCTGAGTGGCACGGGGACAACGTGGGCTGAGCCCTGCCCAGGATCGGTGTCGAGGGTGGAGATCTGGGTCGTGTTCCTCTTTGTGCAGCAGTGGTGATGCAGGAAAGTGGAGGAAATTCAGCTTCCACCTCTGCTCAGCGAGCTTCCCTTCCTTAACACTTCATCTACTAATAACATGCTGCTGGAGTTGTTTTGCCTTTGTATTTTTGCTTCGCGGAACAGCCTTGGTCTTTGCATGATATATATCTTAATAGCACCTTGGATAAAGCAGAATACTGCTAATTCCATATTATGGGATTATTATGAACTCACATGAATTAATGATGCTTATAAATATAGTCCCATTGAAATCCTTGACACTGCATATTAACCTGGTAGCTGAGCCATAAAATGCAATGCATATTAAAAATCACCAGCCTGCACTTCCAGTGCTTTCAAAATAGCCAGTCCTTCTGTGACATATCTGGTGTGAAAGGGTTCAGAAAATCCTAGAAGAAAGTATGACCACTTTTATCACAAGGGCACTGCATTTATACCGGAGACCTGTCACTTGGCTCAGCGGGTTGGATAGATATTAACATATTTAGTGCCTTTTTTAGTGGGATTTAGCTCCTGATCCTGTTCAGCCCACGTTTTGCCCACATGGAAAATCCCAGAGAGTTTGGGGATGGCACAGTTTGCTCTGGGGATGTGTGGCTGCCTCCAGATGTAGCTGCTCTGCACTGCACTGAGTCTGCTGAGACAGCTCCTCTCGTCTCTGACTTTTAGGGCAGGCTTTTTTTTTTTTTTTCCTTTTGTTTTAGAAGCTGTTACGGTGAGGCTTGGGGGAATTTTTTGTGGTGGGACCTGCGGGCTGGTCCAACAGGCTGCACACAACCATGCAGCGAGGTGTCTACAGCAGTGGCAACGTGCCATGGGAATGCCCTGATCTGGGAAGGCTGACCCTGGCACAGGGCTCTCAGAAGTCCCTCCACCACCCCACTACCTCCCCATTTCTGTTAATGAATCCTACAGCCCCAGTTTTTAATCTGTCTCTCTTAACAGCCCACCTTAAGCCTGCATTTGTGCGGTCTGCTCACCGTGCAGTGTTTGCTGCTCACCGAGCAGAAGGGGCTGCCTGCCAGCAAAGCCCTCAATTTTTTTTTTTTTCCTTACAAAACATCCCCGTGTCAGGATTCAGGCACCTGTCTGTGTGTTACGTGTGCTGGGCTCCGTTTTTATTGTGCAAGCAGAGGGAAATACTGAGCTTAGGGGGCTGGGATAGGCACTGGGATGGGCAGGGTGTCACTAGTGCCCTCCTGCCCTCGTTACAGCGTCTACTCCACTTGCATCCTTAATTACTATCTCTCATGCTAATTAGGCTTCTTCTTGCTGTCACTGTTTCGAGCTCCAGCCTTGGAGTGCTATAAAGATAGTCTGGGTGCAACCAAAATACTGCCATGAATATTCATCCCTGCCCATCTCAGAACTGTTTCTCTTCGCCTGTTTGCACGCCTTGCAGTGTTTTGGTTTCGGTGTTGGGCAAGGGAGTTCGCAGGCAGGACTGCCAGTCAAAACAGAGCCTTTTGTGGGATCCTTGCAAAAAGCAGTGCTTTGGGGTTGGCAGCCAAGCTGACGGTGCCCAGAGATCTGCTCCATGAGCCGCCAGGGCTGGGTGCTCCCTATGGCACCTGCCTCCATCCCACAAACCCCTCATGGAGGGTTAGAAGTTTCCTTCTAAGCTTTTTATTTAAAAATAATCTCAGAGAAGGTTTATTTCTTGAGTTTTACTTGTATTTTTCTCAGTCTGTTGGCGATTTGCACCCAACCCCTTTCTCCTCCCGTGCGCCTCATCCCCATGCCCCTGCATAAGAGTAAAAGGAAGGATGGAGCAAAACCCAGCACCGGCCTTCCTCTGACCTCTTCACAAAATGCAACAGTTTGTAACCAAAAAGAGCCAGCATGTTGCCTCAAAATCACGCTTTTATCTTTCATGAAACTGGCCCTTTTCTACCACATGTTGTTCACCTCTCCTGCCAAGCTTGCAGCAGCTCCTGACACCTTGGTGGGCCACAAGCTTTGCACGAATGTGGCAGCGAAGGGCCAAAGGCCTCAATGCTGTTCAAAAGAAGGCCCTAAATTCCAGTGAGTGAGCCCATTTGGTGAATGGCACGATGTTCTCTGCTTCCCTGCAGCCCGGGCTAACGTGGGGCAGGACACAGGAGAAAGAGAAACCACCGAGAGAAACCAAAACCCTGTCTTGGTTCAGCCTGGCGCGGTCACGCTGTGGTGCTGCTATCGGCAGCAGTGGTCTTGTACCTGCTCCTGCTGCTCTTTTCCCCTTCGCTGCTTCTCACTGAAAACTTGGGTGTTTTCAAAAAACCCTGTTTTATTATTAAATTAATCCTTCTATTGAGAATTAAGCCCAAGGACTTCTTGCTGCCTTTATCATGTCACGTCAGGGGAAGCCCCCCTTGTGGGGAATGCAGCTGAGGGGCATTCTCCACCTGCAGACACACAACTCCACCTGCATCCACCTGCACATCTCGTCTTACCCATGGCAGCAGGAGAAGAGCATCCCCCAAACCATGACAGATCCTGGCACACGTGGGACATCCCGCTGCTGCCACTGCCCTGCTGGCTGCGGGTCCCAGCTCAGAGCTGGGTGGAGAACCCCTGATTTTGGGATGCGGGTGGAGCTGTGAGGATGTGCTGCATCCCCGAGGTAATTTAGGAGGCTGGCAGCCAGCTCTGGACCAGTTTAAAGGGGGTGCTGGAGATGGGGCTGTCCCAGCAGGATGGATGTGGTGCCCCGCACTGGCTGCAGTGTGTTCCCATTGCACGCGGTTGCTTCACATATACCAGGTCTCTCATCTCCCATTTCCCTTCTTCTCTCCCCGCACCCCCATCTTGCTTTCAAAATTGGTATTTATTTTAAATGAAGTGAGCTTCTCTTCAAACAAACCCAAGCCATGGATGCTATAATTAGCAGGATGTAGTAATTTTTCTTCCAGCATAATTGGAAGGTTTGCCATTTAGGGATAATACTTAAACTCTCCTATTTTATGGCTCATTTGCCAGAAAATGCCCGTGAAGCTAACAGCTTTATCAAACCTTATCAATGGGTAAAGAGTGTCAAAGGAGAGTGTTTGTTCTATCTGGTGTTAAACGTGGTGCTGCTGCTGTTTGGTCTTCTCATTTAACTAACTTCTGTTAATTGAATAACCTTCCGTGGTTGTTTGGTGGTAAAAGCTCCTAAAGCACGCCTTAAAACTGGCACAAAGAGACATTGCAGGGCCTGAGGATTTTCATCTCTTCCTGCCGGGGCTGATTTGGGGCTGGGGTGGTTTTGGGGGGATGCCCTGGGTGGCCGACCACCTCCCTCGGCCACCCTCAGAGCTCTGCTCAGCACCAGGAGGGCTCAGCCCCAGCCCCAGCTGGAGCAATCCCAGTAAGGTGCCCAGGCTGGGTAATCCTCATTAGCTGCTAAGCTAATTAGCAATTCTCCCTTTCTAAGCAGCTCAGATTGAATATTCCTGTTGAATATTGGTGGTGAAAGCTCTTCCTCTTTCTGAGGGCATAAAGGCACCTTTACCACATTTTTGCTCCCCGCTGAGCCTCGAGGCAGGAGAGCTGGGGGTGGTGGGGGCCAGATGAAATCTGAAATCCAGCCCCAACCTTGCAATGGGTGCGCTCGTGCTCCTGGGTCTTCTTGAGCACTGTGGCTGTGGTGTGCCCTGAGCAGGAGGGCTTCCTTGGGGTCTGTTTGCTGAAAATATGCTGCTGGACTTGAAAGTATTTCTCAGAAAGTGATCTGAATTGCATTAACTTCTAATCCCGTCTTTTTTTTTTTTTTTTAATGCTTTTCTGGCTTCAGTGGAGATTTATGAAGTGCTGTGGCCTTGGCAAAGATCAATAGATAGCCTGTTAAACAAAGACTCAGAATTTACTGTTTGGATGATTTCAGGAGGGAAAAAAATAATTTGAAGTATTTAATTTAATATCGAGCTCAGTTTCGTAACAAGGAGGGACAGAGCCCCCATCCTGAATGAAATGTGGAACTTTTATTCCTAGACTGCCTGAAGCATTTAATTAACATCCTGAGGAGTTATATTTGTACTGCGTGGTGACAAAGCTGCGATAGTGGGAGGCTCCAGCTCCCATTCTCTGCTGTTGCTGCAGGGCTGTGCCTGCCACCTTCCTTAATCCATCCAGAGCCACCCAAAAACCAGGCAGATGTCCTCCCTCTCTCCTATTCCTTACAAAAAAAAGCTCTCCTAGCCTTTTCCCTTTAGATTATTAGAGGCCTTCTCTCAGTTTCCAGCCTGAGGGTGTTTTTAACCAGCTTATCCTGATATCTTCCCCTCATTGACACCTCTGCTTTGTGCCATGTTCTGGTTCCTTGTGCAAGGTTTGGTCTTCAGCAGGTCTCCTTCCTCTCCCCCGTGCCCAAATACTTCAGATTTTCATTGTCTCCAACCTGGGTTATCTTTAGCCCCTCTGCATGTTCCTGGGACACCTGAGCTAACAGAGGGTGCAGCTGGGGCTCTGCCTTTTTTGGGGATTTTGGATTGAGGCCATGGGCTGGGTGCTTGGTGATCCTCCAGTGCTGAAAATCTGCCTCTGATACTTGAAATTCATCTCATCACAGGGGCTCGGTGATGCTCCAGACCTTGCTTTGACCCTTCCCGTGGGCAAACCCATCCTGAGCAAATTTTTTGACCGGTGCCTGTTTATTAGCTCAGCGGGAGTGAAAACCTGCCAAGAACGTGGAGAGGAAGCAGGGGAGCAATCCTCTCTTATCTCCTTGGAAATAATGCGGCCAGGAATGCTTGCTCCTTCTTGAAGCTTTAAATTTATGAAAGTGAACAATAATTTTGCAGCCTCTGAGAGTGAAATGTGGGGGGAACAAACGCACCTTATTGACTTTTTTAGCTGGAGCAGCGTGGGGAACATTACTTTGAGCTGCATCGCGCTAAGCTCGAATCCCAGGAGATGTCTTTGTTGATGCATAAGCTGTGACCTAAAATATTGACTTTATAAAGTAATTGAATCCCAGAATCATGTTTCAGATGAAAAGCGCTTGACAAATGACTGTAGGAAGGAGCCGAGCCTGAAGACTGGGGCACAGATGTGTTGGGATTTACTCTGCTCAGCTCCTGCCTGCCTCTCCAGAAGAAAGTCCCCACCAGGCTGGCCCGATCCAGGCTCTGGGTGAATTATGGGGACTGCAGAGGTAAGTCACAAGAATCTCTTTCCTTTCTTCTCAGGAAGAAGGGTAATAAATCCTTCTGGATGTATGGAGCTCATACAGGGGGTGGGTGACCAGGAAAGCAGGGGGACATAGCAGGTCTCTGGGGGTGCTGAGCTTGTTCTGACACACCTTGATTCGCCTTTGCCTGTGTGTGGCAATATCTTGGTTTTGCACAAAATGAGTTTCAGAGGAAGTCCTGGCCCCAAATCTTCTCTGCATTGCCATGATGTGACCTGTGCTCGTGCTGTGTCACTGCTCAGAGCGCAGCGTGCCCTAGGGGAAAAAGTGGGAACCCAAACGGAGCTGCTGCAAAACAACAAAAACACCATGGTGAGACTGGTGAGGAAGAAGAGGAATAGTGCTGGTTCACATGAGAAATGCCTCTTTTTTGCCCCAAGCCATCCCTCTGGGGCTGAGGGCTGCAAAGGGCAGATGCTGGAGGAGGACTTGTGCTGTCGGGGAGCAGTGAGTTAGCACCCAGCGCTGTGGCCCAACACGAATCCCCTCCTTCCTCCGCTCTTCAAAACAAATTTCCCTTCTTAATTTAAGAGGGCATAATTATATCATTATTTCAAATGGCTCTATTTAAACAAGGCCTTATTTTTGACTTATAAATTGTTACCTTGCTCATCCCACGATGACTGTTTTTCTTATAAGTACGTTAACCTCTCCGCTTTCTTTACTCAGCCGTTTTGCATAATGTTATAATAAGCATTTAAATAACTGTAAAGGTTCCATCAGCTCTTGCTTTCATATCTCGCTGTTGCCATGACAACTGGCTATCCTTCTCTGTCTATTTTACCTTTTTTTAGATTTGGGCTTCTCAGTCCAGTGCCGTTAAAATCGAGTTAGCTCCGTCCCTCGTTTGCACGCGACGCTGCGGAGCTCGGTGCGCGTTGGCTCTGCGCTGCTCCACGATGAGGATTTTCTCTGCTGGCTGCTAGCGAGGAGGCTTTGGGCTGGGAGACAGGAATGTATTTGTCAATTTGCACAGCGTGCTGGGGGACAGGGAGATCTGCAGCAGTAATTACTGGGGTTGGGGGCACCGGGGTGAAGTTGGAGTGGGCGCAGTTGGTTTCGGAGCTCTGCAAGGTGCCCTTGTGGCAGCGCGGCCACGAGGGGATGGCACCAAGCCCCTCGCAGAGAATTGCAATGATATTTTTGTCAAGTCTCTCATTTAAAATTATTCTTAATACCCTATTTCTCCATTTAAAAAGAAATAATCCGACAGCATCCTAATGTAGTCTGGTAAATATAGATCTGTCAGACCCAGACCACGGGCTTGTAAACAAATGCCAAAAGTTAATGCAAATGGCTAAAATGAGCCCGGGAAGGACTGACTCAATGGGGCTGTCTGCTGCGGGCGTGAAGCTCCAGCTTGTCCGGGGACATAATCTCTCCTGGCAAAGCAGGAGTGAACAGAAGGCAGCAGGGAAGGCTCGCAGTTCATGCCAGTCTGCATTTCCATCTGGAAGTAGGTGCTCTTAAAGATGATAAAAATGGCAAATGAAGGAATTCCAGAGAGGCTGCTCACTTTTATTTTTTTTTTCCCCATGCCCAAATATAACACGTTGACACAGTACCTCTTGGGAGAGCAGCACAAGGGACCCAGATGGAGCACGAGACAAAACCAAACCCTGAGCACACAGGGCAACCCAAGCTGCTGGCGTTTTAGTGCTGTTTATTTCGAAGGCAGGGGAGCATCTGCTTGTTTGGCCTCCGCTTTGGGAGAAGTCTCCATGTATCGATGGGGTGGGTTCTCCTGGGCTATAGGAAGGGAAAAGCTCTGGGTCTCCTCTTCTGTTGGACTTGTGGCTCAGAAGTTGAAATCGTTGGATCAAGTGAGAGGAACTGCCCCAGAGGAGGAAGAGGTGGGCTGTGGAAGAGCCAAACGTTCATTAAAGGCACTAAAGCTGAGCTGGCCCACTCAGGGTTTAGACCACCACAATCACCCTGATCACTTCTGACTGCTAGGACTGGTCACACACCCAGCAACAGCAAGCACGTGGCAAGGGGCTGGTGTAAATCTACAGCACAAGGTTTTTGTTTATTTCTAGTTTGCTTTGCAGGAGGCTGGTGCATTTGTTCATGGGGGTTTGTGCTCTATACCTACATATCTGCATCTCTGCAAAGTTCAGGACATTAAAAAAAAATAAATTGTTCGTTATGATATGATATTTGGGGCAGGAAAAGGATAGTGTATTTTCAGTCCTTCTTTTCATTTATGCTTATCCATGTGGCACCTCTTGACCCTCAGTACCTAAAAGGACCAAGCGCAGTGCTGGTGGAGGGATGCCACGAGACTTTGTTAGCAGGGTGCATTGTATGAGCGAGGTACATGCACTGGATGACCCGTGTCTGCCGGTGATGTGCTCTGTGCCTTCCCTTGCAGGAATCCCATTTCCTGGCACAAAGGCAGAAATCCAAGCAGGGGCTGAGTTAATAGAGATGGACACGCGGACGTGCCTCGTCTGCCTTTCCCCGTAGAAGCCCTCGGTGTGTCTGGTTAATTCATCTCGCCCGGTGTACGCTGACAGAGCAGCTTTTCTGAAACACGCTGCTCGGGAGCTGGCTGTACACCGGCCAGTCGTGTTTAATATGTATAATTGTAATTGCATCATTTATTAAATCAAATGGCTTAATGCATTTCACAGCGGTGACGCGTGACCAGCTGTATTGCTGCTGCTCACTTGAAGGCTTGCTTCGAAACAAGTGCGAGAAGTGCTGGTTGTTTGGGTCGGACCTAAAGCCTGGTGGTGTCCTGTGCAGGCACTGCTTGCTTCTGGTGCCTGCTGGTGGGTGTTTTTCCTTTCCTTGTGCTCTATGTTAATTAACTTCTGCACGGTGACCACTCCTTGCAGACCAACGGGGGCTGTGGGATCTGTGAAATGACCCCGAGCAGTGCCCACACCACTGTCCCTGCCCATACATCAGGGGCTGATGAACCCCGTGGCAAGCAGAACACTTTGCACACTTTGTGCATGAATTTTCTTCCTCTCTGGGGACTTGGAAAAATTTTCTTTTCCTTGGGAGCTGCACAACTGTTTCCCATCCTGACTGTGCATGCGTTTGGGTACGGTTTGCAGAAGGGATGTCTGCGAGGATCCAGTAGAATGGAATTAGGATGAAGGGAAGGGTGAGGAAAGGAAAGGTGGGAAGGGAAAGGTGGCTGAGGCAGGACAAGGACGGGCATTCAGCCCACCTGAAGGCACCAGCACAGATCCCGCTGTTGTATATTTGCTCCAAGGTGTATGTGAACCTGGGGCTCAGGTTTCACTCATGATTTCTGTGTCCCCAAAACCCAGCCTGCTCCTTGCAGGGCCGATTCCTGTGTGCTTCTGCAAATAAGCCAGCTTAGATGCCATCTGTGTGCAAGGTATAGCTGCTAATGCCAGGGCTGAGCTAAGTGTCCGTTTTGGGTATTTATCCATCTGGTTTGCCCAGATATCTGCCAAATGGAGCACCCGCCAACGGCCGGGGAGGGGATTTGGCTTTGGTTTCTCCAGACTGAGGAAATGCCCAGTGTGAGTGCTGGCCTTGGGCACGAGTCCTTTGGGGTGGAGGTGAGGACCTGGGGAGGCTGAGCCTGGCACAGGCAGCCTGGGAAGGGCAGGAGAGCTTGTGAGCGAGTGGGGGGAAGGCAGGAGGGATGGGATGGAGCTGCTGGGCTGGGCAGCCTCAGGCAGTGTTTGTGTGGAGCTCCACAAGGTGAGACTGCATCGCTATTTTTTGTTCATGTTGTCTGAAAAGCGATGTTTTGGAGGAGAGCTCTGGATGCGGAGAATGCTTTCCCCATGGTCAAAAGCTTTCACTGTTTGAGGAAATAAATCATGAAAAGAGAGGGAAGCGTCACAGCGAAAGAAAATGTAATCGTAATTTCAGGAAAATCTTTTCATATTGATTACCCATATCTTCAGTGTCTGTCTTTTTAATTTTTTGTTTGTTTGTTTTCTGAAGAAGAAAAAAGCCTTCCTAACAGCTGCTCCGACTGGCACCGCTTCTCTCTGTGCAGGTTTGCTGCCTGCCTGGTTGGGAAGCTGCAGCTTTCCCTAATGAAGTTCTTACCCTTTCTCCAGGTTTTGCCTCTTGAAGTGAGGTTGCCGGAGCTCTGCAAGGCTCTGGGTCCTGTCCCCTCTGCTCACACAATATAAGTGATAGATATTTATATACCTGGGATAAAAGTGGAGGGCTGGGGTTACCACCTGAGGCTCTGTGCTTGAAGGAAGCTGCGTGTTCACAGTCAAAAATACAAGTTTAGGGGTTTGGTGGAGGAGAATTAGCTTGCAAAAAGCATTGAGCAGAGCATGCAAGGAACAGAGGAGAGTGTGAAGGAGCGTACAAGCTGGGAGATGCATCCTCAAGACCCAATGCTCAGCCTCCCTGTGGTAGTTGGTGGATGCTGGTGGGGCTGAGCCATGTGTGGGGCCCGTGTTTGCCTCTTGGTGCTTCCCACAGAGTGCAGGTGCTGCAGGATTGCTGCTGTGCTGCAGGCTGAAGTCTTTGTCCCACGGCTCTGTGCTGGCAGAGTTGTCACGTTACCGAGCCGCCGCTTCTGTAGGGGAGCAAGGGGTGGTGTGAAAATGCTGATGGGAAAATCATTAGATTTGCTTTAATGAATTAGAGCTGTACAGGCATTTAAATATCGCACAAATCTGCTGATCAGCAAATCAAGCTAGTTAGTGTTTTTGCCCGCGTGAGCTGCACACACGCACTAACAAGGTTCATTTGCTGATCTGCAAATCTACGCAGGGCCTGAGTGACTGCGCTGTGTAAATTAGGGGAACGGGATCATTAAAACAAACATGTCATTCTTCTGGCAGTGCTTTCATTAATAAAATAAAGCCTCAGATGGGGAAATAGTGAACTTGGTTCTCTCTGTGGGTTTGCAAAGTAGTTAAGATGCAAGTAATTAGTCTAAGTATAGACCGGGAGCCTTGCTGCAAGCGCTCCCTTTCCACGCACGTTTCTAGATGCTGAATTCTTAAAGAGGAGAAAAAACCATCGCCTCTCTGCTGGTGCTTCAGGGTGTTTCATTTTGACCTCACTGCTGGCTCGGGAAGGTCTGTCTTGTGGCCATGCACCTTCTGAGAGGAGGTCACAGCAGGGAGTGACGTGACTTTGTAAATCGTGGCTGGCACGCTTGGTAAGGGCTGGGTGTGTGGGCTGCAGGCTTCGAGTGAGCTCTGGCTTTGCCCCATGGCCACTCTCTGAGACACGTTTGATGCTCGAGGCTCCTCTGAAGGCAGTGGATGCTCCTGAAAGCCAGGACCTTTGGGACAAAGAGCAATCAGCTGGTGGAGGTTGCTGCCTGCTCCATGCCCCTGCTTGGCAATGCCAGCAGGTGCTCTAGGAGGAAAATCCTCATTTGCCCAAAACTGCTTTGTTTGGGGGAAGAAAGACACGATTTGATGACTTCCTTTCCTTGAAGTGGTCACTAATGACTAATCTTCAGTGACATTGAACAGTTTTTTTTTTTTTCCATTCTGTTTTTCATCATTTCAGTGAAAATGCCCATTTGCAGTGGAAGCTCTCCTCTCTTAATAGTATCTTCTTAATTTTTACGCATTTTTAATTTTTATTTATCTGGGAAGGAGATGCTATCAATGTGCTGTAGGTTCAGGCACTGCAGGCAATGTCTGGCAGAGCCCCTTCATGCAGTGATGGAAGAAGAATCTCCTGGAAACTTGTGCCAAAACCAGCAGTGCCATGTGCCTTTTTTTTGATTCCCCTTGAAATGAAATTACAGTTGTCTTATATTCGTGAACAATGAAAAAACCTCAGCTTCTGATGGTGATGAAGTTAAATCTCTCTTTTGGAGTTCACTTTGAAGCCCAAGGTGCTGTGGTTGCATTGGGCCTAAGGAAAAGGGAAATTCAGGATGCTCAGGCAATGCCACCATCCAACCACCAGGGATCTGTGTTTTATTTATATTATCTTTATTTTTTGTAGCAAACAATGCCTACCCTTTGTAATTATGTTGAGCTTTGCTCAATATTTCAGGAAATTCTGGGGTTATGCACCTGTGACTGAAATATCCAGGTACAGTGATGCTCCTGTCCCTCACCCCTGCTAAATGCCTTCTTAAGCTGTCCGTCTCCGTGCATTACTGTAAACCCCGCTTGTGGGGTTGTTACTTTGACTTAACGAGAGCACTCTGATGTCTGTCACTGGGAATGAGAAAACTCCTCCACATCCCCCAGTTTACAGTGTGCTGTGGGGAATTGTGCTCTTCTCCCTGCGTTGACTGTAGGTATGATGCTGCATGGATTTTGTGGGATTTTTGTCGTTTCCCCTCAAATATTGCTCCTACCCCATGGTGTGAGGTCCCTGCAGACTTCCACCCGCCCTACATTCCCTGTGGTGCCTCTTGGAGCCAGGTGCTTTGGGGTTGAGGCTGGCCCCGTCCTCACCATCACCTTACTCCATTTCCCACCGCCCTTCCCTTTGCTGGCTGCAGGCAGGCTCCTGCTTTCTGCTTCTGGACTCTGATCCCCTTGGCATCAAAATGAACATTTAATTATCTGGAGTCCGATGTCCCTCTTCATTACCGCGGCTGTATTTACCCTTAGACCTTTAGGGATTTAATTGCATCAGTCCCAGATCTTTCTGCTGAGCGTAACTTGGCATTTCTCAGCGTGTTCCTCTATCTCTGCTGAAAAGGTCTCCAGGTCTGACAGTGGGGCGAGCAATTTGTCACTGTTTGGCCCAGGTAAGCTTTTTTGTGCAGCTGAGCGGGTTTTTCCTAAGCGTTTGCTTTTCCTCCTCATTTTCAATCGACCATCGCTCTGTGTTTCTCTTGGCTCTGCCCTGCAACAGCTTCTGAATGCGGGGAGAGCAGCGGCCAGCTGATGTGTCCGCAGGGCTGCTCAGCACCAGCGTGGTGCTGGGTTGAGCCTTCAGCCCTGCTCCGACCAGGGTTGGCTTCTGGGATAAAAGTTATTCTTACAGTCGGTTGCTTAATTAGCAGCAGCAGAGTAATTATGTAACTGATGAGAGAGGGCTGCAATTTGTGATTTGGATTTTTTTTTTCATTGTAAACATAAAGCCTGAAAAAAAAAAAGAAGGGAATTTTATTCCACTTGGGTTGTTTTGACGTGGCAAGCTGTACACGCTGGGAGGCTGGAGGAAGCCCTGGGGTGCTGGTAGGACTGGTTGGTGAGGGTCTGACCAGTTGGGGTGCCTGTGGGAGGGCTGGGGAGCACTGGAGCAGCTCTGTCCACCTCCACGGCAGCCTGGCTCTCCTCCCTCGTGCCTTCCTCTCATTGCCAGAAGATGAATGTCCCCCGGCGTTATCTCTGTTCCAAGCCTCCAGCTCCCTCCCGAGCCATCACTTTCTGCAGCTGTTCTCATAGCTCTCCTCTTGAATCCAAATGAGTTCCCTTTGCCTCTGGGGAGATTTCTGTGTTAAGAGGGTTCACGTGTGAATGAATACGCTTCAGCTGGTGGCCTCGCACCCAGACCCAGGGCAGTGAGGATGGTGGGGAAGGCGGTGGGATGGCTTCTGTGTGCTCCATGCATGTGCTTCTGCCCACTGTTGGTGTGTGAGACAAATCTGTGAGAAGTTCAGCCACCTCCTTTGAGGTCTGCATCAAGCCCTGCCAGCCCATCCTTCTCTGTCAGCTCATTTCTTCTGGAGCACGCCGATAGCTGGCAAGCAACGTGAGCTGCCAGCCCGCTTGCATTGCCTTTGTCTTTTAATGCATTTTGTGTCTCTTCCAGGCCTGTGTGGAGCTCTGGGTGTAGCTGAGACGTGGCTTTGCTAACAGGGAGCCCTCTGGGCTGCTTTCTGTGGGCGCAGGGTGAGGTGCCCAGTGCGGTGGTTGAGTTTCCAGTGAGTCAAAGTCAAGCTTTGCTCTGCCTCTGGTGCACGTGCTGCTGCTTGCTCCTGGCGTTATCTGTGCTTGTCATAAATTGAGTCCTTATGGGGTGGCCTTTGTTTCAACTCAGCCAAGAGTCCTCCAACTGTGACAGCACTTCTACAGCCTTTAATAGCTTTTTTTTTTTTTTTTTTCATTTAAAATGGGCACCATTAAATCATTTCCCAGTCAGCTCCACACAGTGGTACCTGAAAAACCATGCTTATTTCCCATCCTAAATACAGGGAACATCTGTGCATACACCTGCAGTGTTACTGTAGGTAAATGTTGACTTCATAACGGGGATGTTAAGATGCAGCAGGGCACAATGCTGTCCTGAATGCCTGAATCCTTGAATTGTGGAGTGTCTGTTGTGGCCTCTGAAGTGATGCAGGGGGAGGCCATACAAGACAATAACTCAGGATATGCACACCTGAGAAGAAAATATGTAAAGACCGAAACACCCAAGAGCCAGTAATGAGAACTGGATTTTTATTTCTTTGCAGGCCATCTCCTAATTCAGGCTATCTGTCTTGGAGAGAAGCTCAGAAGAGGGGGACGCTCCAGGGCAAGATGGCATTGTGGTGTTGGGAGCAGTAAGGCATAAAGTCTGGGTTGCCTCCTGCCTTGGGAGCCCACAGATTTTGGAAATGGGCTGAGCCTGTGGGATGGGCACCTGTGTTGCAAGAAACTCCATGAGTGTTGGTGGTAACAGGGGTGATGGTGCTGGGAAGGGAAGGATGAATTAATCTCATGTAGAAGGCCTAATGAGGAGACAGTTTGTACTTATTGACGGCTTTCAGGGGTAGTCTTCCTTCATCTTGAGTGGTTGTGCCCTGAGGACTTCTAATCCAGGAGAAAAAAAGGTAAGGAGATGGTGTTGGACCACTCCTGTCCAACTTGGCAGTAAACGTCCTGTCTTTGTGCTGGAAAACATGAAAATCCTCAAAGTTTCACTAGAGATGTGTTCAGAAGATGCTGTTGGGAGAGGGCTCTCTCCAGTGATGTAACAAGCTGCAGTTTGCTTCAAACTTTAAGTATTATAAATGTGGCTGATGTAATTCTATTTCAAAAAGCCTTAGAGGCTTGCAATAATAAACAGAGCCTTTTAGTACCAGGTTATTGATGCAAAATAGTTTAGCAAACTGGGTTGCTGAAGTGCAAATGCCATGTATTATTCATTAAACTCTTTCTTTCCACAAATCATTGCTTTCCATGGCGTAATGTTCCCCGGTAGCACCACTCTTCGGGAAGCTCTTTGGTGTGAGCCAAATGTGGAGCCTCAGACCCATCCATCAGGACGAGCCGTTGGTTACGTTGTTGTCTTCCAAATGGAGTTCATAATGGGCAAAGAGGTTTAATTAATGCTTCAGAGTAATGTGTCTGTTTATAAAGAAATAATGTACTATAAAATTAGGCAATGCATAGTGAAATGTACCTTCTAATGGGTAGGCTGGCATTTTAAGTGATCAGTAAATCACTTAAATATTAAGACCTTCTTGAACAAGGATAATAAAGCAAGAGATTTGGAAATGGTAGATACCAGTACTTACAATTATCCACTAAATAAAACATTTTTATAGTGATCATAGAGTTAATCACCTCGCAGAGTGGACAGGTGATGGGGACAGTGGAAGATATGTGGCATTATTGCCTGCAGAAAAAGGAATTTCGGATGTATTCTTTAAGGCCAGGGCTAACAAGGAGAAAACAAACATTTTCTCTACACTTTTGATGGATAAATGCAAACAACAGCAGCTATATAGAAATGCTCATGATCTAAAATATGATAGATCAAGAATATTCCCTAGGCAGTGTTAACATGGTCGCATGAGAGAAAAGGGAGATGATCTACGAATATTACTTTCAAATATTTGGAGTAGGAGTTTGAAAATGTTCTCACACTTTTAAATACAGGTTGGGCAGAAATACTGAATTACTGCTTTACAACCCTGATGGAAGAAAGCTTTGTGGTACTTGTGTAAATTCTGATCAGTGATGGGAAGGATATAGGAGGAGAATCCCAGGTCTCCACTGCAAGAAGTTTTGGCAGATTTGAAGGTGAAATGAGCTTTTAATGAACTGAATTGTATCCAAATGACGGAGTGGTTTTCAAGTTAAATATACAGAAACTAATGGCCTGTAGGAGATGTAAACTGCTTGCGTAGGAACATTCACAGATTTTTGTCCCAGGCTGGAGATTATCATAACAGCTTTGAAAGGGTGTGTAACAGGATAGCGGAAAGGAAATGCGAATGGAGATTTTTGACAAGTGATGTCCAAATGGGTGGGATGTAGTCTCCTACATGCCTTTGAGTATGGCCCTTCTGCAATTATCTTTGCGATGCTCTGCCTGGACTGTGTGTCTCCTTTAGTGGTGCAGCTCCAGAAATAATCCACACTAGTCCGATTCAGGAAGGATGAGGACTTTTCTTACAAGTGGTGGGATTTTCTTGCTTAAAAGAAAGGCATCAGTAGGCAGCTCAAATCATTTCCTAAAATAATTCAGTCAGAGAGAATATGGAAATATACTCGTGTAAAATATTTTGTATCAACTGAGATGATTGATGAATTTGATGAATGAAGAGTTAGCTCCTGGTTAAGAATTCATAGATGTTAAGTGTCTCTGAAGACAAGGAGGAGTAGATTGCACAATTGTGCATGCTGCTTTCAGTGATTGGTATTTTATCATTTCTCTATGAGGAAAAATGAGCAAAGTTTTTAAGCAACTTTACATAAAGAGGATGGAGAGATAATGTGATGGATTCAATCTTTGGGCTGTCAGAAATTAAAAAAATAAAAAAAAGGCATGTGGGGAGAGGAATTGTCAAGAAGGAACAAAACTCAGCCCAGGCATCCTTTAGGCCAGTGGCTCTGATGGACCAACAAACAACTCCCTGGGGTTGCAAGGATTATGTTCTGTTCCTGTGTGAGCTGGATGAGGATGTTTGTTGCAGGCTGAAGAAGAAATAAACCATTTTCTGGAGTCACCTTTCAGAGTAGGAGGTTTTAGGGATGTTTTTGCTAACAGGTAGCTTGGATTTTGGGATTTGGGTCAGAACTCATGTGGTTGTATTTCTATATCACATGAGATGCTGACAACCCAACAGCTGTTCCAGTTCTGAGCTGAAATGAAATCAGGCTTACTCTCCCCATAAAATAAAAATACATCATTTTGAAAATTATTTTGGAAGAAAAAAACAAACAAACCATTTTTTTCCTGTTTGTACTACTTCTCTTGATGATGAGTCAGGATTGCCCAGATGGGACATGGTCTGTCATGGGAAATCACACGATTAGCTGAGTGCTCTGCTTCACTGGCTGCTGAGATGCATTGAAACAACAAATTCTAGAATATCCTCTGTTTTATGTGGAAGTATTTCATGAAGTAATCAATACAGAGATAGCTGAAGAGCTCTTGTATTTTGTTTCCAAGTCTTAATTTGACCTACTTTATGGGATAAAAATTTCAAAATAATTTCCTTCATCAATGAGTACTTTCAAATGTTTCTAATATTAAGAAAAATGTAGCTTCAAAAGCACGTTTGTACGAAGTAGGTTTTAAAGCCAATAATTTTACAAGAAACAACAAAAGTTTTCCCAAAAAACAGGTTTTCAGCAAAAACTCTTCTGCACTTATTGGGACCAAGCCTTGTGCCTGGTGCTGTGCCCATGAAACCCGTGAGTGCAGTGAGCTTGGAGATGAGCTGACACCTCTCTCATCCCATGTTCTGTCTGGGGCCGATTAAGCTGAATTAAAATAGTACCCGGCCCTTAGAAGATGCCAGAAGAACGCTTCAGATGAGAAGCAGTAATTTATTCTGATTAGAGCTGACTGCGTGCCAGACACCAGCCTAACTATTCCCCATCTCCTGCCCCAAAAGGTCAGAGAGCTCGACATCAGCTTTGCCTGGATTCATCCTAAATAACAGAGCGAGAGCAGGGGGAGGATGGCGAGCCACTCGCAGGAATGGGGACTCGAAGAGGGCACATCTCATGGTCTCTTGGGTAATTTGCAGCTGGATTTCTTTTTGACCTTTTTGCACCGTATTGTTAACAGCAAAGAATTCCCCTCCCCACCCCACAATCGTTTTATCCTGAAGAAAGCTGCTGGGTAATGCTGAAATCTTCCTGGGCTGTACTTCCTATGCAAATAAACTCTTTGTGATGAATATTTAGCATCCTCGGCCCTTTGATCTTGACCTACAAGTGGGAGAGATCTTCAAGGGGCAGGGATCAGGTCTATAAATGACACTGATCAGCTGGCACTTAGTTTACACTAGGCTGGCAATCAGAAAATTGTTTTCCAAGAAATTCTGCTGCTTTAAATAATTTTATTCTGAAATGAAATGGAGTAAAAAGTAAGCTTTTTGGCACAAGTTCCAGGAACCCATCTGTTTTAGGGATGCTTTAGGGGACAGAATTATTTATTTCAAATTGGATTATTTTTTTTTTTCCTAAGGAAATGTATTTAATTTTTCAAAAATTAAAATTTAATATTTTAAAAAAATTAATACTGAGGAGAAATCAAATCATGTTGCCAGTGCTGGAATTGGGCAGGCCAATGTTAGTGAAATGCTTTTGCTTAAATAAAATATTACTCACATCAGTGAGGTTTCAAAGGTATTCAGACATGGGTGAAAATGCCCACTGCTCATCCCAGCACTTGCAAGAATTTCCATGCAGAGCTAAGTGCATTTTTCCTGTTTTTTGTTTTGTTTTGTTTTGTTTTGTTTTGTTTTTTGTTTTGTTTTTTGGCCAGTGTCTCAACCCTTTAACCCAGTTGAGAAAGTGCTCCTGTGTGTGGACTGTCTTCAACGCAAACAGAACTCGGTTCCTCTGGCTCTGAGGTGGATGTTGATCTTCAGAAGCCCCCCCAAACCACGGGTCTCCAAGCAAAACCAGCCTCTGTCTCTCAGAGACGGACAGCTGGGAAATTTCATACTTGTTCTAACATCTTCTCAAAACTGTCCCATGTTTCCAGCACTGGCCATGTAAAATGCAAACTTTCTGGCTCAGCCTCATTAAAAGCAACTTCTGTCCCACTGCCCAGATTGAGCCCCCCACTCGGCCTGATTTAATCTGCAAAGTCTTTAAACACTTACGAAATTCTGAGAACAAATACCAAGTTTGATTTTTTTTTTTTTAATTATTTTCATTTTTCTCTTTCTGAATGCCTTGAGAAGAAGGGAAGGTGTTTCACTACTCCTTCTTAGTTCCCCTGCTCCAGCTTCTCCCAGGTGGAAAATATTAAAAAGTGAAAAACTTTTAATTTAAAATCAGAGAAAAAAGTCCAGCTCCAAACACCCTCTTGGGAAAGAGCTGATTTTTGGAAATGCCCACTTTTCCAATAAGGAATATTTTGGGCTTCCAGGCAGACTGTGCCAGCACTGCTGTGTCCACCTGCAGGGGTGGGTGAAGGCGCTGTGACCATCGCTGTATGTGGAGTATTTGGTGTTGGTATAAGTGGGTGCTGAGTCTCCTTTCGGGTGTTAGGAGAAAATGGCTCACAGGACTGTGGGTTTGCCCTCCAGCACCTTACTCGGGGAGGGTTTTAAAACAGGGAAGAGCTGAGGTCTGCTTTGGGGTAGGAAAACTGGGCTCATTCTCAGCAGGAGTGGATGTTTTGGGAGCCAAGGTAGAGGGAAATATTTGGCTCTGTGTGCAGAAGGAAATTTATTTAAATACTGTTTTACACTCATTTCATAATAGTAGCATTTTATCTTTTTTACATTGATTTATGGGCACTGAAGCAGAACAGAGGAGTCAGAAGAAAGCAATTAATGAATAAAGAAAAAAGCCCTGCACAAATGCTTCAAGATAAAAAAAGAAAAATTAAGAAAGAAAAAAAAAAAGGGAAAGAAATCTTCCAAACGCTGAAGAAGGGGGATAATTGATGGTTCCATTTTAACCTAATGTTATTTCTGGATCTCCTTTTTTTATAATGTGTTATTTACTGCATAGTTTAGAGCTGACAGAAAATAAACAGCATTTGCAATATAACGTCGTTAGCACCCCGATGCACTTGCTCATCCTACTTGGCTGTCAAGTTCGAACTCCAACCAACATCAGTCAACGTCGGCTGTGATGGAGTCTGTTTTTAATAAGCATGGTGCTATAATTACCTTATTGCAAAGTTAAAGCCAAATGACACTTATGATGAAGGTTTCATGGCTAAACAGTAAAGCCAGTCAAGCATTCGCATACCAACTGTCAGATAGGAGATAGCTGGTGCAGGATTTGTTTCTTTATTGCTTGACTGGGGTCACTTCGTTTGTACTTGGGAACTTTGTCGTGGGCACAACAGGTAAAAGAGGGAGAAGGGAAGCCAAACTCTGAAATGAGGGGAAAATTCTGCAGGTGGCTGCTGGGAGGCAGGTGGGGGTGTTTTTGGGGGCAGAAATCAACCAAACCCAACGCTGGATGTGCTGTGCTTTCGTGATTTCCTCCCACTGCTTTAAATACGATGGGCACCAGGTGGAAGGGTGGAAGCATTTCATTGGGTCTTCCAGCATAAAACTGGAGCTGCTTGGTGTCATAAAGCTTCCTGCAGGGGGGAAAAAAAGTTTTCTAGGGACCTTTATCTT